TCGGCACTGAGCGGCGGCCTCAGGTTCTAATCTGGGAGTCTGTGTTGAAGCGTGTACAGTCCATGCAAGGATGCACCACCAAGACTCAAGCATCTTGTTTATAAAGAGAGTTTTCAAATGCATGCTTGGAAGAGAGAAGCACTGCAAGAATATTTTTTTGAGAAATGTATTTTTTATTAGAGCTAACATCCTAGGTTGTAAATGTTAGAATATTTAACATGTGATCCTGTGGGGGGAAAACCCCTGCCTTTCAGGGAGTGTATAAAGAGAAATGTTTGCTCAGAGATGAGTTCCCTTCAGCAGGTCTTCATGCAAAACTCACTCTTTAACCAAATAAGTAGATGCCTTTAGACTCTCGACTGTGTGGTTATATATTGGGAGATGCTCATACACAAATGCATTTAAGTGCAGACTCGCTACAGCTTATATTGAAAGCATAACTTATTGTACTATGTATACATTTTAAAAACTGTATAGTGTAAAACCAGTATTTTCCTCCCCGTGTAATTTTGTGTAATGCACTGTTCATCCAAAAATGGATGCATGTATAAAGCTAAACAAAAGCCAGGAGCAGGTTTGAGTCTCTCCAGCTGATAACAGGTTTTCCTTTGGGTTTCATTTCTGGCTGGAACCATCAAATAGCCGAGCGGCATCAATATGCATTCCTTTAGAGACTGAAGATCATGGGACCGTTTTGAATGCTTTCATTTGAACTCATTCCTCATCTGGTACATCTTGAGTTTTATTCTGTTTAAATGTAGCTTTCATTTTCCTCCACCTACCAGCCTTCTCTGGATAAAATAAAGACTCATTCCTTTAGGAGACATCCAGTCATTTAGTCAACTTCATGCTGCACGTAACATGCAAACTTAATGCAAAAACACTTTAAATCCTGAATGCAAGATAGTCATTTATTATGTTGCAAGACACAATGTGCTTACAGATTCAACAAAACAGACATGGAAAAAATAAAGTTTTGAAACCTCAAATTTTGTGCTTTGCATTGGAGTGGCCCTTTGAGCAGAGGACTGACGGCAGAGCGGGTGCGTTTCGAGAATCGACTGGAGATGAGCTTCAGATGATGTATTTGAAGCTGAACGTGCTGTCACAGGAGAGCCGCTTGCCTTTGCACCTGCCGCACAAGTCCTGTCTGTGAGGTCGCTTGGGATCAACGTGCCGCTGCGTCAGGGCACAGGAGCAGCGCGCCTTTTTGCAAGTCTGGAGATCGAGAAACGTGACAGAGTTGCAAAAAGATTGAAGTGAATAAGCAGGCTAGTAACTTACATGGCATGTGATGTCCTCCACACGGTATGGGTTGAAGGCCTTCTGGCATTTTCTACAGAACTGTTTGAAGTAAACCTAGAAAACAGTAGGGGTCAAACAATCCTGATTGAATTGCATCCACACTATAGATAAATCCTCCATTTACAGATCAGTTTGATTTCCATCCATGCTCATGGGAATTTACTCACCTTGTTGGTGCCTTGAACGCACCACACATAGGCGCTCTCCCATCGCAGATTGCATTCTCTGCAGTGATAATATCCGTACTTCTGTTCCAGGAACTAATAGGACATAAAGTCACTTAAATGAAAGCAACTGCTGCAACTTTTCTATTTTACGCATTTATTTTTTTAACACCAAATAAATTTAGTCCCTCTAGCTAATCTTTGCCAATGATGTGGCTTTAAATTAAGAGGGTTTCCATTTTCGGTAACTTTTTATCTTACTTTAAAGAGTTGAAAAAGATTAATACATGGTTGTTTAATTCATCCGTATGACTTGGTTTAAGGTTTAATATAATTTGCTCTTCAAAAAAACTTTGCGCGCGCCAAGACTCACCTGGAAGCGCACGCGGGCTTTGTTGCCCTTTGATTCGTCCGCCGCCGGCGGCGCGAGCTCACTCTTCACCTTCAGCTTCTCCTCCGGGGGCCTTGCAGCCTTCCCTTCCTCTCCATCCTTCCCTTCCTCTCCATCCTTCCTCTCCTCCGGGTCTCCGTGGGGCTCCCCGGGCGGCGCTTCCTCAGAGGAAACCTCTTTGTTGTTATTCTCGTCCACGAGGAATGACGTGACGCTCCTGTAGGCTATGGGGGAGTAGACCCCTAGGGTCCGTGGGTAACGCACCCCACCCGCGGCTATCGGGCTGCTGGGCTCCTGCCGCCTCCTGCGCTGGAAGTCCCGCTTCATGGCCTGCAGGGTCCGCGGGCCGATGGCGCATTGGACCGAGGCGTCCTTCTTCGGGTTGACCTGCACCGCCACATCCTTGGTGTTGGCCTTCCGGAGCCTCGGGGTGAGTTTAGGGTTGATTTGGGACAAGATGGACTTGAGCTGGGCGCGCTGGTGGTTGTTGAAGGCGTCATCTCCACAGTGGGAAAAATAACCTTTATATTTCCACCCGGAGTCTCTGGGCCGGCTGTACCTGCTCATGTAAGGGTTGTAAGAGGAGTAGAAGTATCTGTCGACTGATTCTTCACCATATGTTGCCATTTTTTCTTTGCTCAAACAGGCCTTCCTTCCTGCTGGAACTATTTAAATAGATTGGAGAGCAGGGAGACTCCATCACTCTGATTGGCTTCAGGTGTTTGCAGTGGCGGTTCTAGAACTAATGTTCCCGGGGCGGGGTCCCAGCCTGTTTTCATGGGGGCACAGAAAAGCATGAAGCAAAAAAAAAAAAAAAAGGCAAGGGATTTAAATACATTAAGAGAGCTGCATGAAGTGAAATTTCCATTCAATTAGGTTTAATTAAAATTATATCTCTCAAACTGAAAATATTTATTTTTGGCTTGAAAATGTTCATTTGGATTATCGTTAAAATCAAAATAAAAAACCCTTGGCACATAAATATCTAAAAGGTCAAATAAAGCTATTATTTGGAATATTAGGTTCATAATTTAGGAATTTTACATATTTCTAAATTAAAGTTAAATCCGGATTAGAACTCAAGAAAGCTGATAAATTCAGCTGTAAAAATTAGTGTTTTTTTATTTAGCAGATGAAAACTGGGATCCTATCTCAATATCACTAAAGCTATCACCTTATTACTTTTAAATAATTAATAAAACAGAATTTTTTTTAAGAAAAAATATTGAAATAGATCCAAAGGACCTATCAGTAACCATGTTTGTTCCAGTGAATATAATTCATTAGAATTTTTTTTAGTATTATGTCTTCGGTACAGGGGCCATATATGGAAGTAAATATGTGCCATCAGAATTTGAATAAAAAATACCTCTGAAATTTGATTGTTGTATATCAGTGCTTACTTTTTCAGTATTAAAATAAATTCAGAATATATTTTTAACCTAAAAAAAATTCAATGTCATTATTTGTACATTAAAAAAAAATTCAGTGTAATTTTTTTTACATGGTTGCAATTTTCAGTTATTAAAAAAATTCACATTCCTATTTCAAAGTGATCAAATTTTCAATATACATATTTTTCACAGTTTAAATTTTCAGTGTTAAAAAATTCAGCATATAAAAAATTAAACTTTTCAAAATTCAAATGCAATATTTTCGTTGTCCTCCAATTCAACTTGCCCAAATTCACTGTCTCAAATTCAGCGTCTAAAAATTCGCTGTAAAAATGGCCAAGGTTACTTCAGGTCACAGACATTAGCAATGGATGTCCGATTCCAACATCCACCTAATCACGTGACACAACCGTCATATTGAAGAAGTACCAGTATCACCCAGGCTGGCAACCATGGAGGCGAACTCAAACCCAACAGTGAGTTTAATGCTTTCATATTTCTGTAGTATATTTTATTTTGCGTATGAAGTTTGGTACATTATCTTAAAGCCTGATTTAAAACACTGGTTTGGGCCGTTGTTAATCTTACACTGTGTAGTGCCGGCATATTACCCCCCTCCCCCCACCCAATTTCCCCCGTTTTATTTCAAAAAGAAATACCACTTTTCCAGGCAGTCTTAGTAAAGTCGTAATTTTTCAGGAGATGCTACCGCTAATGTAGTAAGCTAATATGGCTGCCTTGTGTGCTTCAAAGAGGGGCTGTGAACAGTTCCGACCCCACTCTGATCAGCTACTGTATTGTTAGCTTGGAGGTAGCGAGAAGGAATATGCCGGCACTACAAGGTGTAAGATTAACAACGGCCCAAACCAGTGTTTTAAATCAGGCTTTAAGATAATGTATCAAACTTCATGCGCAAAATAAAATATACTACAGAAATATGAAAGCATTAAACTCACCGTTGGGTTTGAGTTCGCCTCCATGGTCGCCAGCCTGGGTGATACTGGTACTTCTTCAATATCACGGTTGTGTCACGTGATTAGGTGGATGTTGGAATCGGACATCCATTGCTAATGTCTGTGACCTGAAGTAACCTTGGCCATTTTTACAGCGAATTTTTAGACGCTGAATTTGAGACAGTGAATTTGAGCAAGTTGAATTGGAGGACAACGAAAATATTGCATTTGAATTTTGAAAAGTTGAATTTTTATATGCTGAATATTTTAACACTGAAAATTTAAACTGTGAAAAATATGTATATTGAAAATTTGATCACTTTGAAATAGGAATGTGAATTTTTTTTAATAACTGAAAATTGCAACCATGTAAAAAAAATTACACTGAATTTTTTTTTTAATGTACAAATAATGACATTGAATTTTTTTTAGGTTAAAAATATATTCTGAATTTATTTTAATACTGAAAAAGTAAGCACTAATATACAACATTCAAATTTTAGAGGTATTTTTTATTCAAATTCTGATGGCACATATTTACTTCCATAGCCATAACAGGTGGGCTACAGGGGCACTGGCCCCTTTTGGCCCCTGTCTAGAACCGCCCATGGGTGTTTGGGTTCAACCCAGCAGGAAAACAGAGAAACAGGTGACTGAAGGTAAAATACATCAGGACTTTAATTCTTCCATTCAATCATTTACAGATACAGTTTGATCGGTTTGGCACATGGATAATCTTGATATGTTTGTTTTCTAAATAACATTTCAGCCCCTTTTTCAAAAAAAAAAAAAAAAAAAAAAAAAAAACATGCACATGATGATATATCTGTAAGGCTTTTTTTTGTTTGTTTTCCTTTTAAAATACATCAGTGATTAATTTTAATGAAGTAAGCTTAGGCTAAACATTAATCTGGATCATTATCTCCTCTTTTTTATTTCTTAAATGGGTGACAGCAATGGCAACTTTTATTTATTTATTTCTCATAGCAGCAGCAAATAAATGTTTTTTTTTCCCCTGAATGATTAAACAGGAGTGGGATCAGGAGGACAGGGCTCTAACATGATGGTGTTTGTGTCACTCACTGTAACAGCACCATAAGACGGCTCAAAGTCCTCATCGTGGAACCTCTGGTAGGATATGTCTGTTTCATCACCGTCCATCAAAGGATCTGGTTTATGCAGAACTTCCTTCCTGTACAGCCTGTAAGCCAGGATGAATATGCCGGCCTCGGCCGCTTGGAAGAGGGCATACAGCAGAGGGAACATGTACATCCCACCCATCAGCTGAGGAGGGAAGGCCAGCTTCAAGATGGCCGTGCACAGCTGCACGTTCTGGCAGCCTGTCTCCAGGGATACAGCTCTGCGACTGTTGGGGGGCAGGTCGAAGAGCACGGCCAGGCCGTAACCAGCGGCGTACCCGCACAGAGGCATCAGGATGGCCACCACGTAGACAGAGGGAGGGATGGTGGAGAGCAGCTCTGGGCCCAGCATCACTCCTGTCAGGATGAACAGCATCACCAGGGTGACCAGCAGGGACCAAAGGGAGGCCTGTGGGTGCAGGATCATTCAATCAGATTGACAGACCAACTCAAACTTCTGGTTATATTTTGTTTGCAAAAGCATTCAATAAGAAACATTTTTCTACATGAAATCAAAAACCTCAGGGGATGTAATTGGGATTTTATGTGATAGACCAACACTAGGTGGTGCATAACTGGAACGTAGAAGGAAAATCATAGATAATTAGGTGTTTTTACAAATAATCTGAAATATTTGTCCATTTTATTCTCAATCAAGAGCCTTTTTATGCTAAAATAAAGCAAAATTCAGTTTGTTCCTACCTTTGCACATGTAAAGGAGGACATTTTCTCCCAGTTTTTATTTTGCTACATTAGTTACCCTCCAGGTTAGATTAGATGTGTTTTCCTCTGATTCCTGAAATGATTGAGGTCATTCATAAACATGTTTTGATCCAGTGTGGCTCAGGCTAAAAGTTTGAACTTCTTCCCTGGCCTTAAATATTTTCTGCAGGTTTTCTTCTGTGTTTAACTCCTTCCATTTTCACCGGCTCTGACCAGTTTCCCACCATCCTGCTGATAAAACTTGTCTGTTCACTCTAACATAGATCCAAGATCCTGACAGAGAGAGTTTAGTAAAATAAAAATAAAAAACATAGCTTCTCTGCAGTCTTTTCCTAGGTCCCTCTATGGCTCTGACTGCTTTCCACAGCTATTATAGCCCAAAGATCCCAAATAATACTCTTACAGAATATTCACTTTTAAATTCTGTTTCTTCAGGACACCAGCTACATAAAGAGGTATGATTTCTATCATTAAACATCTCATAGACACCGCTTTGTTTATCATATTCTTCAAATTTGTCAATCTGCCAATGTAAATAAAATAAAATAAAAAATACATTCTGACTGTTCATCATTCATTCTAATTAATATTTTAGATGATAAATAAAAATGACAACGTGGAAAGATGCGATAAATGCCCACTCCCATGACATACATGTGGATAAATTATTTGGTGATTATTAAATGCATTCCATTGGACAGCACAGCAAACCTTTCTAATAAATACTGAAAACTATGTTGTTTTTCATCCACTTCACAGTTATGAATTAATTTATGCTAGTCTGTTGCATAAATACCAAATAATTGCACTAATTAAGGGTGAGGAATATGTTTTTGCCATTTGGTGAGGATCTCTGGTCAGAGTTTTGGTTTTATCCTCCATTGAAACTCCAGCATGGCTGCATCACTCCTTCCCCTTTTGGCTAAATTCCCATTGATGCTGTATGTGAGACCTTTTCTCAGAAAGCACAGGGAGGAGCTTTCCCTGACTAAGTGTCTCTGATGTCACTGTCCCCTCACTCCTCCCCATCCCAAACTTCTAATGACAAGCGCTGGAGAATTTACGCAGTGCGTCTTTGCGCAAAGTTGGTCTCTTATAAACCCAAAGCAGAATGACACAGTGACATATGATTGGAGCTGAGATAACTCGACCATAATACCTTTAAAACAACATCAGCCACACGCGTGTGGCGGTATCTGAGCATAACACCCAGACCTATTGGGATGAGAGTGCTGCACAGGGTGAGGATGATGGCCCCGAAGGGCAGCAGGTTGACCACAGGCGTGTTGATCCAGGCCCGGCTGTAGATCCAGAGGCAGAGGGGCATCAGGACCAGCGCCAGCAGGGTGGAGGAAATGGTCATGATGATGCTGGGGAGAGCAGAGGACAGAAGCGCGGTTATAGGAGGATTATTGCTTCACCTTAGATGTAAAAACTTTAGGTAAACGCAGAGATATTTGGATATCTGTGCGTAAATGAGAAGATCTACCTGAGGTTCATCTCTCCGTGCACCAGCAGAGACATGATATTTGATAAGTTCCCTCCAGGACAGCAGCCACAGAGGAGCACAGCCATCGCTGCCACATCATCCAGAGAAAAGGCTAAAGCCAGAAGGAAAGCCACCAGAGGCATGATGACAAACTGACACACCAGAGCGAGCAGCACCCCGATGGGTCTGCGGATGTGTTCCCCGAGCTGGTTGACCTCCACGGTGCAGCCCAGGCCCAGCATGGTGAAACACAGGACCAGTCCCACGAACACATTGATGCCGTGGCTGAGCGGGGAGTCCCAGAAGGCAGGCACCAGGTGAGGAGCTTCTGTTTGGGGAGCGCTCATTAATCCCAGTCCAGCATCAGTCCTGAGTGCGCTGCTTTCCAGGATCATGGCCCCACCGGGCACCGAGAAGCCCTCCATCACGCTCCGTTTCCGCGGATCCACAGGTTGCTTCAAAGTGTAGGAGATAAAGTCCAGGATGGCAGCTGTCTGTGCGCTGGAGTTCTCCATGGCGCAACAGGAGGATCGGTTATCTCCACGGCCGCGCTGCGCGCCTGCTGGTGCCCGTGCGTAAAATGGTCCTCTGAGCTGTGCGCGCTCCCTGATTAAACGATCCGGAGGGATGTGAATGGTTAAAGATGCTCGGAGTCAGCCTTCTGCCTCCGCTGGATCCTTCAAAACGAACCCAGAGAGAAAGAAAAAAAGGTTCATTTGTCCTGCAGTTTGTTCTCTCCTGGTCATCCGGCTGTTTTATTTCTCCTAACGAATGACGCACGACCCTCATAAAGTTTATGAAGCCTGTAACGCGCATGCTCCGATGGTTGATTGACGTCTGTGTGATTAAAGCTGCTCTTTACAAACTTTTCTACCAAATCAAATAAATCAAATTTACAAAACAATCAGTCCTTCTCTTTATTCATCAAATCAAATTTAACAATCAGTCCTTCTCTTTATTTTGCTATTTTCTTTCCACAGCTTATTTAATTCGATATAAAATCTCTCAGTTGTGTCTTTATAATGTTCTCCTATCTTTATATGGTCACCATCTATAGTGTTAATTTTTGTTTTACCGGTATACAAACGCAGCAAGAGTCGCATGTAAGGACAATGAAGGGATTGGATGATGATGATGATGCCACCTGGAAGTGTCTGAAGGGAAGTGGAGCAGATTTCAACATTAAACCGAGTTAATTTTTTTTCAGAAAGCTGCTCACAGATGTTTAACAATGCAAGCTGAAGTAGTTGCCATTAATTTATACATACAGAACTGTGCTTATTTATTTTTTTGTTCCTGCTTTTTTTGAAAACTGAAGTTCTGCCTCATTGGCCGGTTGTGTTTTCACTGCGGTATGTATTTCCTAGAAGCAGGGGCGGAGCTAGATGGGGGGCCAGAGGTGTCCATGGCCACCTTTAGCCAATCATTGGCCACCCCTTCCATTTTTCTCGCCCTCTAATACAGACGGCCGCAGCAGTAATATACGATCAAGAGAAATGTTTAAACTTATTAAACATAAAATTTTTCATATATTAAAAGTTACTTGAAAACTAAAACGCTGTGGTTAATTGTGCGCATCAAAGTAATAACATTAAAGTTGATATATAGAGAATTCATGCTCTTTTAAGATCCTCATTTTGTGTTATATGGGGTAAAGAGAAAATTATGTGTCTCTGCAAGTCATCAAGGAGTTTTAAGTGAAATCATAGATAAATAACGACTTTAATAACTTAAAATCCAATAATGTAGATATTAGTGCATCTAATATTGTTATGCAGAAACATTTTTGATAAAAGTAGGAAAGTAATGACAGTGGAAAAGATGTTTGCCCCAGACATTTTGTCCACTATACCTTTTATTTATACAACATGGATGTTTAAATATATGCTTCTATTTGTAATGAAAAGGCTGTAGGAAAGTATAGTTTGTCTTTGTTTAGAAAATATGGATGTTGTGCTCGTTCCTGTTGGAACAGCGTAGATGGACCCTGAGGTTCTGGCACCTATCCGCTTTTGGCCACCGCTCAGTTTACATTGGTTTTTGACTGGCCACCCCTATTAACATTTTTTTAGCTACGCCTCTGCCTAGAAGGACAAACGCAAACAGCTGGTGTGTTCAAGTTTGACCTCTGACCCTCTTTAACAAATTAGGGATGATTGAAAAAGATCATAAAAGATTCAGAAAAAGGTGTTTTCTTTTTGTATGTTATGTTATTTTACTAGAATAATAAGTCACAGTGAAACACACACATACACACACACACATATATATATATATATATATATATATATATATATATATATATAGAGAGAGAGAGAGAGAGAGAGATATACAAAAGTCTGACATTCTAAGGAATATTAATGGATTATGATTCTATCCTGCGAGGTCAAACATAAGCCATTGCTGAGTTCAGTTTAACCTTTGACCTTCTTTAACAAATGAGGGGTTATGGACAAAGTTGAAATGATCTCAGATACCTGATGAATCAAAAACTGCCGTTTTGCTAAACAGTTTTCCCTCACTCTGCTGTATTTACTCATTTAATCATCTATCCTAAAGGATTTGGACCGTTCAAAAAGAGCAGTTTTATATAAATTGTAAAAAGATGTTTTCCTATGGTATGGTATTTATTTCATAAAAAACAAAAACAATAAAATGTATATATACAAAACATGGCTGCTTTTTATTTTCTTTACAATTTTTACTCACCTTCTGGTTTCTTTACTAATTTAATCATCTAACCTGAAGGATTTGGATCTTTGAAAAAGGGCAGTTTAATATAAAGCATAAAAAGTTTTTTTCCTATTGCATGTGATTTACTTCATTAAAAATATTTACCGGTACAAAATATGTATTTATACAAAAGTCCACCACTTTTTTTGTTTTGTTTTTTTTTACAATTTTTACCCACCTTCTACTTTTTATTATTATTATTATTTAATCGTCTATCTTCAAGGATTTGATTCTTTGAAAGAGCAGTTTTATATAAATCATTAAAAAAAAAGTTATTTACTGTAATAAAATACAAAAAAGATGCAATATATAAAGAAAAATAAAAGAGCCCATTAGTTTGTTGTAACAGCCTTCCAGTCTGACATCCTGAGGAATATTAATGAATCATGATCTTATCCAGCAGCAGTTCTCTCCACATTCAGCTGCATCCAGCTTTGAATTGCCTGGTTTGTGTCCGCCGCCCTTAGATGCATCACGGTATCGCTCTTCAAGAGGATATGAGTGCAGGCGTCGTGTCTTTGAGTCCACTGTGGGAAGGGAAAGATTGCACACCTCTGTGATTCAATCTCCTCTCGCTGCAGAAACAAGCAGGCTGGTTCTGGTAAACAGGAAGTGACTCCAGGCGCGGTAGAGCTGCTCGTGTGTCGAATACATGCTTTCCTACCAAAGAGCTAACAAGGCTCAATAAGACAGTCTGAAATCAACATGATAAAAATAAAAGTTATTTAAAAAATTTATTTTGCTTTTTTTTTTTTTACTCCTATAAAGAAAAAAACTCAAACAAAGAAGAAAGGAGAAACCGTTCAATTTTTATTTGAAATGTGACTTTACAGTGAAATCAAATGTCATGTCTGTGGCTATAAAAAAGTTCATTAACAAAAGAAGTTGCACACCAGGTGTGTATGTTTTTTGCGTCATTCACCCTTGCTTCCCACCCAATCCGAGCTTTGACAGAGGCACCCATCTCTTTAATAAATAGTTTCATTTACAGAACCTCTATTGTTTTTGATATAAATACAAAAAAGGCATGAGGAACATTTTAAAGCAATACGTGTGTCGATTCTGTAACAAAACCAAACAGGCAAGCGATTCAATCAGGCATAGATGCAAAGCTGAAAACAACATTGGCAAAGAAAGAAGTTGGCACAGACGATGAAAACACAAAGAAAATCTGAAGCTCAAACTCAGTGAAATTATAAATAGGCACTAATGGAAGCCACCCACCACAGCAGTGACCAAACGCCATTCCTAACACTGGCATGCCTTTTTAGATTCATGTAGCACATTGGGTCAAAACTTTTACACCCCATTAGGTTATTCAAACATTAAATTATTTTTTTTATGTTTTTTTCTTTCATCTTGCATGACACAGATCGCTGGGAAACACTGAAGTTGCCTTGATTGCATTCTCTGATGGGGACAGTGATGGCTCCCCAAATTAGAAAATCTTTTAATGGAGAACTCTGAGAAATGTCGTCTAGGTAAACTGTTTGGGGTAGCTAGAACTAAGGCTTTAGTAGAGGTGTCCCTCATTCTCTGCTTTTCTACCAGTACTGATCTAAAACTTCCAACTAAACAAGGCTTTGGAGAGTTAGCTTACAGCTAAAGTTCAAAATCAACTATTTCAAACAGAAAAACCTGAATCAGAATACTGATATGGATGTTTGGACATATGCTTTTTAAATAATTTGAATAAATAATTTTTAAAAAGAAACTTGTGCATACATTCTGGATGATTTTCTTTCTTTTTTTTTCTTCTTCTTTTTAAGAGGAACGATTAAAGATTTGTACCCACACAAGAGGTGCTTTCACTGTTAAAAGACATCAAACAATTGTCTCAACATCACGGGACAGTTCACCTGCACGGCATCATCATCATAGAGATCACTCACCGACATCTGCTGAACACAGAGCATAATAACAGAAATGTGTGGAAACATTTCGACCTGAGGGAGGCGACAGGAGAACAGAGGAGGGAGGGAGGGAGGGAGGCTGGCCATGCAGACGTGACTGCAGGCGTTGTGTCGCCGGAAGGCGGCCCGCTTTTCTTTGGCATTTTCTCTGTGGCGTGCACTACATGCCCGACCCCCTCCCCACAGAGCCAGCCCCCCCAGAGAACAATAATGGGATGTTCTTTCTCACACGCTGTGGAGTCTCTCGTCTTCTTTTAAAAAAAAACAAACTCTGATTTATACATGCTTGTCTGTCTCTGAGGAAAATCTTTTCTAGGTACATAAAGTGCCATGTTTACTGCCTCCTTCCTTCTGTGGATAGTGTGACTAGAGCGCCCCCTGCTGGCTCCACTCAGTAACAACCTTCTCTCCAGTTGTCACCTGTGCCGCCGTAAGTTCTTGGAGCAGGGAGAGATCTAAACAAGGACAACCAAAAGAATTACATTTAGATAAACCTACATTATTGCAGTTATAAATATATTTACCATATTTTCACGACTATAAGGCGCATATAAACGTCTTTTTTTCCCCTCAAAATGTGCGGTGCGCCCTTTGGTGCAGTGCGCCCTATGTGTGTTGTTACTGCAGACTTTTGAGACCACCATGCAGAACTCCTCATCTCCTCATTGAAGAGACGATGAAAGAGTGGCTGAGGGAGGTGTATGTAAGGAGACCAGGTGGTTTTTTTCCACTCATCACCATTGCTGTTAATCTGTGACTCCATGCGTGCCCATCTCACAGCTGATGTGAAAAACATGGTGAAACAAATGAACGCTGTGCTTGCTATTATTTAACTGCTCGACATCGGTGTGAACCGGACGCAGCAGGCGCAGCGAGTTTACATGCAAAGTCAATGGTTGACGCGCGTATAGACGCAGCAAAAGGTCCCACAGCACGTTTTGAGCAGCAGGCGCAGCGTTTAAGCATCTGACGCGCCGCCAA